CCGCAGCGCCCGCGGTCGGGCTGCTTCGCCTTGGCGGGCAGGGCGGAAACCGAGGCTGCGCTGGGTGGAGAGGAGGCCGACGAGGGCGCGGAGCGGCCCCGGCGCGGCCCGCGCGGGGACATGGCGTCCTACGTGGATAACAGCTTCCGCCAAGCGGTGATGAAGAACCCCGCGGAGAGGAGCCCCCAGGTGAGCCCCGGCGCCACCGCCGCCCTGGGTCGCCCCGTGTGCGCTTCCAGGCTGCGCCCTCCGCGGCCCCCTCCCGACACAGTGCTCACCTCGAACCCACGTTTCCATTCCTGACCTCTCCCCTCCGTTTGTCCAGCAGAGGAGGGAATGCTCTTCCTTCACGTCCCCTTTCCCCAGCCTCTCGGGGGCTTCTGAGCCGCGAAGGGTCTCCTTGCTACTAGCGTTCCCTGCCATCCTGCTCACGGGCACCGTGCCTCTCCTCCAAAGTTCAGTGGTTTGGGGAAAGGTGTAAAAGGAAACTTGCATGGTTCTGCGAAACAAAAAATCACGTTGGTCATTTCTAAGTCCAACATTGGGATGTTTTTAGACGAGCGGTTTGCTCATTTTCTTGAAAAAGGGATGCCGTTTTCCATGGAAGGGAAGAAAGTTGAATCGCTAGGCTAGTTCTTTTAGTTTAGATTGCAGAAATTAATTGCAGCGCGAGCTTTTTCAGATGCACCCCCGGGAAGGGCAGGCTCCCTGCGGATTTTTGTGTGTGTGTGTGTGCTGCCCGACCTTGTCAAAATCGGTTTTGTTTGTTAGCCTTTATACCGTTGTTTACCATCAGGGTTATTTTTCTTTCCCTTTAAGTAGTGGAGCTGCTGATGTGGTTGGACTTGGTCGTCTCAGTTTGGACTTGAGAAGGGCAAATTTTATGAAAATGTGGTGGTTTGATTTTCTTTGCTTTTTAGTTGCTGACTGGATAATGACGCATGTTGTAAGCACTGGGATGGAGACTACAGGGATCCTGCTGCCAGCCTTCTTAAGACTAATAAGCCCTCTTGATCCAGGGGACCATCAGGCATTGTAGGAGATAATACTTTTGAAAGAGTTGCTTGCTTACTACATGTTAGATGCCACCCGTCCAAATATATCTGTTCTTGGCCAGTTAATGATGATTATTTAGTCTGAGTAGAACAGAATGAAATAGAATCATTAGCTGGCTTCCTTTTGATCCACCCCAAGAACAGCACCTGGGACCATTTTTTGATTTTCCTCTGCGAAGCCACCACACCAGCGAGGTCATGTACAGGTTGTACACATTCACTAAGTGTGTAGAAGATGGGCTGTAATTTTCCACGAACATTCATTTCTCACTTGTCTGCAGAAAGTTTCTAGCGCACGGAACCAAGAATGTCCAGCTTGGAGCTTGTCCCTGAGCTCCCCACCACCTCTCAGTTGCCTTCCTCATTTGTTACTTGCTCCCGAATGGTGTGCTGCCCCAGTCTTCTGCCCAGTGTGATGGAAAAGCAAATTTCAGTGAGACTCAGTGAGTTCCTTTCAGAAATGCTGATTGAAGTGCCAAGGGAAATCACACATGCGGAGGCTGTTGGAGCCTAGCGAGATGGGTCAGAGATGAAGTCCCAGGCTCTGGTGCACAGGATATAGAAAGGAAAGTAGTGCCTTTAGCTGCCTAGTTAGAAGAGCAGCGACAGAAACCTGCTATCAGGGTCACCAGCAAGATTGGAAGAGACAAAACCTCCCCTGTGACAACATGAAGATTGTGCCAAATAAGTACTTATACTCTTCCTGTGTCAGGTGTGTAGACAAACTGGCCCAACACAGAATTTCGCTAGAACACAAAGGCTTCATTGACAGCGTGAAAGATCACATTTCCCTCCATCAAATAGTCCTAGAGAAAGTCCTAACACACCTTTTGAACATTCATTTTCTTTAGTGCATCGTATTAAGATGTTCGTTGGGCTATTACTAATGCAACCCTTTGTGCTTGTTTACTCTGTTCAAGAGAAGGTAGTTAAAAATGCTTTGCATCTTTACCTGGCGTGTCAAAAATAGCTAATATTTTAAAATGTCAAAATGTAGGTTAGTAGTAGTAGTAGATGATTTTTGTCATATCATTGCGAATGAGGGGGAGTGCAGAGTGGAGACCCAAGGCCCATCTGCAGGCAACTGGACATCCCCTTACAGAAGGGTCTCGGGGAGGAGACAGTCCAGTCAGGGTGCAGTGTAGCAACGATGAAACATACAACTTTCTTCTAGTTCCTTACCGCTTCCTCCCCTCCCACTATCATGATCCCAATTCTACCTTTTAAATCCGGCTGGACCAGAGGATGTATACTTATACACGTAAGAGCTGGAAACACAGAGAATCCAGGACAGATAAACCCCTCAGGACCAATAATGAGAGGAGGGATACCAGGAGGGGAAGGGGAAGGTGGGGAGAGAGAGGGCGAACCTATAACAAGGATTGACATATAACCCCTCTCCCTGGAGGACAGACAACAGAAAAGTGGGTGAAGGGAGACATCAGTCATTGTAAGACATGAAAAAATAATAATTTATAAATTATCGAGGGTTCCTGAGGGAGATGAAGGGTGGGGGAGGGAGGGGGAAATTGAGCTGATACCTAGGGCTCAAGTAGAAAATGTTTTGAGAATGATGACAACAAATGTACAAATGTGCTTGACACGATGGATGGATGTGTGGATTGTGATAAGAGTTGTACATATGAGTCCTCAATAAAATGATTAAAAAAATAATCAACATGATTGATTGCATGCAAAAAAAGGGAAGATTTTTGTATTAGTGCTTTGTTAATTTGGGGAGTGGGGGCTTTTCCGTGTTTTATAATGTAAGAAAAGTATACTTAAGAATTAAGTTTAATCCAAGCTGAAGGACCTGTTAGCAAAATTTTGCTCGTGTGTTTCCTTCTTTTCTTAAGAATAGACTCAGCAGTGGTGTTTGTTTGATTCTGTTTGCAGGAGGTGTTTATTTTAAAAAACAAAGACTGGAGGAAGATAGTTTTTTTGTTAAATTTAGTTTTTTTCTTTTTATGCTTAACCCTGTTAACATAGTTATACTTAAAAAACTCTTATGAAGACATAGTTTCATATTTAGGTCAATCAATTGCCTAGAAGTAATCTCCATGTCAACGTGTAACCTAAGAAGTTGGCTAGGAGAGAAACTGGGGAGGGTCAGGTGTGGAGGAGGAGGGCCTTGGGGTAAACACAGGTACTTTGATAATTAGAAAGCTTTTCATGTTCCCCTGGAAAATATAACCCCCCAACACTTACTGATAGCACATGTGGCTAGAGGGGGAATGGTAAAGAGGAATACAATTGTTCCCTGAAGTTTTAGCCAAATCATGCATATTCAGTGTTCAGGGAGTTGGTAGGGTTTCACCTGATATTCTGAGAAATGGGAGAAAGGGCTTCTTGAATTTAGTGTGTGTCCCATGCTGTGTGCTTGTAACCTGGCTCCGTTCTAGTCAGTGGGACACCTTATTCCAAATAACAAACGCTTTGGGAATTAAGGAGCACTAAACGTGTATATTGATATTTTAAAGTGCGCCTCTGTTGAGAAGCAGGACTCTCAAGTAACTGCTGTACGTAACTATGTATTTTATGTATTTAATCGTTTAATTGGGAAACTGATCACCAAAGCAATTTAGTGAAGTCAAAGATGTAAATAAATTATAAACAGCTTTATTCCCCCAAGGCTTCACATGATAAAATTATTTTTCTAAACAATCATATTAGCTGGTTAAGTCCACACCATTGGAAACTGCTTTTGCAGAAAATGTTTTAAGTGCATAAAATGGTTTTGGTTTTTCAGGTGAAACAGCTATTGCAGTGTTGTTTCCCTCTACTCTAAAATCTCAATTTAATGTGCTCTTAAATTTGTTGTGAAAGTTACTTCTTTAAAATTCTATGTGTGAAATAAGCCTCCCAAGCCATTCCTTTCTAATTGATAATCTCAGTTGGCCTTGCAGGACAGAAACGTTTTTAAGCTACTAAATCTTTAAACTTAGTTGTGCAGTCATGAATTTGTCAGAGTTAAGTTCATAACAGAGTGCAGGATCTAATTCTTTGCAGAATCATTCAGTAGAATATGTCATGTGTGTTATGAGAGGACTGAAAATTGCCTTTAACTTAAACAACTGTAAATTATGAGAATCTGCATTAAAAAGTATTTCTGGCACATCATTAAATTTCAAACGTAGCAAAAGATGGTGCCTATTATGTTACATTTCCCATTTGAATTCTTTTTTTAAATCATTGTTTATGAGCAGACTAATTTTCTTTTTTTTTTCCAATCATTTTATTAGGGGCTCATACAACTCATCACAATCCACACAAATATCAATTGTGTCGAGCACATTTGTACATTTATTGCCCTCATCTTTCTTAAAACATTTGCTCTCCACTTAAGCCCCTGGCATCAGCTCCTCATTTTTCCCCTCCCTCCCCGCTTCCCCCTCCCTCATGAACCCTAGATAATTTATAAATTATTATTTTGTCATATCTTGCACTGTCCGACGTCTCCCTTCACCCACTTTTCTGTTGTCTCTCCCCCAGGGAGGAAGTTATATGTAGATCCTTGTAATCAGTTCCCCCTTTCCACCCCACCCTCCCTCCATCCTCCCAGTATCGCCGCTCTCACCACTGGTCCTGAAGGGATCATCCGCCCTGGATTCCATGTGTTCCATTTCTTATCTGTACCAGTGTACATCCTCTGGTCTAGCCAGATTTGTAAGGTAGAATTGGGATCATGATAGTAGGCGGGGAGGAAGTATTTAGGAACTAGAGGAAAGTTGTATGTTTCATCATTGCTACACTGCACCCTGAGTGGCTCATCTCCTCCCTGCGACCCTTCTGTAAGGGGATGGAGCAGAGTAATTTTCATTGGATGTTTTATCATCTGATCATATTGTATCTCATTTTTAGACTTATTAACCAGCACTGTAGGTTACATGTTGGGCTGTTGACTGGCAGCTCAGCAGTTCGAAACTACCAAGCCACTTTAAGGGAGTTTTAGAGGTGAGGCTTTCTACTCCTGTAAAGAGTTGGAATCTCAGAAACCCACAGGAGTCATTCTACCCTGTTTTGTAGGGCCACTGTGAGTTGGAATCGACGTGATGACAGTGAGAGTAAGAACTAGTTTATGTTAATGTGGACAGCTAAAACTACCTACAATATAAGAAGTGTATTTCACAAAAG